ATTGGTAATTCTGGCAAACGTATTTGTACTTTAGGATCAAATTTACTACAATCATTTTCATTTTCAGAATGTGCTATAGATGATAGAATTTCCATAATTCTTACCTCCAGAACTTCAGTTCTTTCTTCCATTTCGGCGATTTCTTCATCGATGGCTGTGACATCTTTTTCATCAACGCTTTCGAAATATCTAATCCTCAAGTTTCTAATATCCATTTGAATGCTTTGTAGCGATCTATACTTTATTTGAATTTCATTCTTATTCGAACTATCATCATATTCCTTCACTACATTTTCTAACCTAGTTAGTTTCGCTTTTAACGAAGTTTTGTTTCTATCTAATGCCAGCATTTTGTTCACTTCTCCGGTTCTGCTGACCATGTACTATGATTCTAAACTAATAAGTGGACTGTATAGCAAAAGAATTAACTAATTTATTTACAGTAATTAACTATTCAGATCTAATACATGCTCTGGCATGATGCTTAGCCGAATCCAGATGGCCAAGTGAGTTTCTCTACTTATCCAATAGGTGGCGCTGTATTCTAACTTAACAGCATCTTTTATACCAAGGGATTCTAACTCCCAGAAGTTCGCTAACTGATTATCTAAATCTTCGAAATTGTTTACTAATCCACAATGATAACTCCTCTGTTTACTTAAATTCATAGACCCACTCACTACCCAACCAAACACTGTCTCTTGCAACACGATAGATTCCTCTTTTAATTTAATTTGATTTGGTTTGAGCAGCAGGTAAAATATATCAGCTCCCAGAAGAGCATCAATCTTCGTTGGTCTATAAAAATTGGGGTCAGCGTAACAAATATTTGTTGGAAAACAAATTTTCTTAACATTCAATTGTTTCGAAAGAGTAAGATCAGTAATATTATCTACAACTAAAAATTACATTTCTTTAAAATTCTCCATTCGAATTTCCCACTGATGATTCCACTTAGCTTACTTTTAACAGTTAGAATCGAATTATTCAGGCCAGATATAGGAGCATTTATTGCTTGTTTTTTTATTTGTAACATATCCGCTATTTCCTTTCGAATTAGGTTGACTTGACTGCTACGTCGAGAATTGCTAAAATGTTTATTATTTCTTCGTTTCCCATTCGAACCTTAATGACAGCAGCAGACAAAAACGAGTCAGCTTTTCGACCTTGGTAAGGAAACCTTTACTCTGGGCCACGAAAAGCTTTTATGTTTACATTCATAACTCGTTCCCACAAATGACTGATTTATGGAAGGAGTCGCACTTTCAGTTTCGAAACTAATCGCGTTCGGATTTAATTCGCTTGAAATATTTATTTCACTAGCATTATTCGATGGTACACTATGGGATGAATTATTTCGTTTTTCTAAGTGAATCAGGGTGTTATGATTTTACCGCACTTAGCGCATGAAAATTTTAAAGAACATTGTTTTACATCAAGGATGTCAAACTCGCGGGCCACAACAAATATTTTTGCGGCCCGGCAAATATATCGGCAAATAATAATATATAAAATAAAATAACATATTGGAAGAAAAAATGAATGTTTACTGCTAGTAATTAACGATAATTTTTCAGTGTTGTTAGATTACTCACAGCGAGCTGACACACACACTACTTAAATAAATGCGTGTGAGTACTTGCGTTCAGCTACTTCGCTTTGGGGGACACGTGCACTCAGGGGAGTGACATTGATAGTTTGGTCAAGGACCTCACTGAAAATATACAAAATGCTTATGCGAAAGCACAAGTTGAAGTTAAACCTGGTATGAAACACAAGCCTCAAGAGCTCAGATTATTGATTAAAGAGAGAAATGCTGCAAGACGAGCGTATCAACGTACCAGACACCGTGATGATAAAAGGAACTTCAATCGCCTGTGCGAAGCGGTCAAGTTTCTTACAAATAAACTCTCACAAGATCGCTGGACTAACTACCTCAGATCTCTTTCTGCAGAGGATAACTCCTTATGGAAAGCAGTGAAGAGGTACAAAAAATGCTATAACGCCATTCCGCCCCTTCACGGCCCTCAACGGATCCATTACACCGGAACTGAGAAAGCAGAACTTTTAGCTCAGCATCTGGAATCTCAGTTCTGCATTAACAACATTTCAGACTCAGACACTGAACAGCTTATTGCTGACTTCCACTCCAATTTTACAACACAGCCATGCACAGACAACATTATCTCAGCCATGCCATCGGAGGTCTGTCTCTATATCATGCGAATTGCGAAAAGGAAGAGCCCTGGAGTAGACGGGGTCACAAATGAGATGATCAAGCACTTCCCTGTCAAGATAATACTCTACTTCACCAAGTTAGTGAATATCATACTACGATGGCAATACTTCCCAACTTGTTGGAAAACTGCCAAGATTGTCCCTCTGCTAAAGCCCAACAAGCCTGCGACTGCTCCTGAGAGTTACCGACCAATCAGTTTGCTAAGCTCAATTAGCAAAATCGTGGAAGCAGTTATTCTACATAGACTAAACATCTTCCTGGATGAGCAGAAGATCCTCATACCCTATCAGTTTGGGTTCAGGCGTAAGCACTCGACAACGCATCAACTCTACAGAGTTGTTGAGTTAATAAGCAGTGGGATGCAACAACATCGTGTCACTGGTGGACTTTTCTTAGATGTCGCCAAAGCCTTCGATAGAGTATGGCTGGATGCCCTCATATACAAATTACACAACCTGGGACTCCCAGGCTACATCACAAACATAATTAAATCCTACCTAACCGGTAGACACTTTGTCGTTCATGTTTCTGGTTCATTATCCACAAACCGGCCTATACGGGCTGGTGTTCCACAGGGATCCCTTCTGGGCCCTACCCTATTCAATATTTACGTGAACGACATCCCCACTACACACACAACACAACACTAGCCATGTATGCAGACGACACAGCGATCCTTAACGCAAAGTGCATTTGTTAGTTCAGCAATACAACAGCTACAACACCACATCCACTCGCTAGAGACTTGGCTGACCAAATGGAAAGTCAAAGTGAATGTCGACAAGACACATGCCATACTGTTTACTACTAAGAAGAATTTCCCGACTCACCTGCAAATGTATGGTGTGGACATTCCCTGGGTCAAGCAGGTCCCTTATCTTGGGGTGATCCTCAGTAAATCTCTTACATGGAACCCACACGTTACACATATTCTCAGGAAGTTTCGAGCTAGTAAAGCTTCACTCTTCCCCTTAATTGCTCGAAACAGTGTTCTATCTATTGATAATAAGTTGCTCATTTACAAAACCATGTTGCGTCCAATTCTTAGTTATGCATGCCCCGTCTGGGCATACTCGTGCAAAAGTTTGAGAAGGCAGTTACAAGCTGCCCAAAACGGGGTATTGCGTATGATATGTAATGCCCCCTGGTACATTCGGAATAGCCAAATTCGTAAAGAGTTAAGAATAGAGGATCTTTGTGATTTTTATTGCCGCCTATCTAGGGCATTTTATGATAAACAGGAACTTCTGGACAATCCTGTGGTTGTTAACTATTGTTATGATACTAGGGACCCCAATTTCAGTAAACGCCCAAGGGCGATCCTAAATGTTAGTAATGTGTAATTTTGTATATGTGTTATGCAAATTGTTGCTCAGATTCTTTATTGTATATTGTTCTTTTTTCCTCCTGATTGCTTTTTGTTTTTACTAGTGGCACTAAGGCGTCGCACTTCGTATTTTGTTTCTCTTGTGTGTACATGTATTCTTCTGTGAAATAGTTGTTAAAAAATAGTTAATTATGTATGGATTAGTAATTAGGTACTTAAGGAAAAAATATGTATTTAACTATTAGCAATTATGAATTTAAACTCTTGCTCATTTAATTATTTAGCACATTCAGTTATATTTCTCATAATTCGAAACTTTTATCATGTTATTCGATGAGGGGTAGGGCTATGGCGCCCAGGCACCCTGGTGGTTAAGCACCGCAGTTCAACACCAAAAATGAAATTTTTAAAAATTTATGCAAAGTTTTTTTTGAAAGTTTGTGTCTATTTCAAAGTGGTATGTAGATTTTGAAGGCTTTGATGTGTTTGTTTACGGAAAAGATCCCCTATTTTTTTTTCATTATTGAATGTCATTATAAAGACTCTAATTATATTTGTTGCAAAAAACTACCAGTTTAATATCAGAATACCTAATGCATGCTTGCTGCGGTATTTAAGAAATATCATTAACTACATAAAACTAAAGTCTGTTTTCTCTTGCAGCAATTATTTACTTTTTTTATTCTCAGTTTATTCTCTTTTTCAACGATTAAAGACTCGCAGTGAAAGAAACAAGTTTAATTAAATAACAAGCAGCACAGTGTTCATTTCCATTTATTATAAAAACCTACTTCAAACGGAAAAGAAGGGGAAATGAGTCAATCTTCTTTTCTGTAAATGAAATAAAGGGGACAAATATTCCATCATTTTTGCATAATTCCAGAAATTTATTTAACTTTAAAATCTCAGGATTGCCTGCTTTCAGCACGAAATGCAAATGCACATAAGTTATGTGAAATATTTAACTAATTTCCAATTTAAAGTTCTGTGAAATATTTAACTAATTTCCAATCTAATACTTTTTAAATACCCTCTTATTTACTAGCAATCCAGACGTTCTGTAAAGTTATATAAATTCGTCTGATTAGGCATGATACTATAAATGTTGCTCACCTTTGGAGCTCTAAATATACTTGGATTCTTGATTCCCAAGCTTTTATTCTTCTGCCTAACAGATGTATAACCACTGTTGCATCCAGGGACGAAGCAGGTTGCATTACAAGAATTACTCATGATGGAAATTGATATCAAATCAATATTTTCTGTATTGCTGCCTATGTCAAATCCTACGAAAAGTAGAAAAGCTGACGATTGCAACGCCCTCTATAAATAATGCAACAAAAGTGGACCATTTTTGAGAAAAGTTGTAATACCAGTTTTCCCCTCCTTCTTTACACTCCGTGATTTCGTCTCTTCATGTGGCGGGCAGAAAAACGTCCGCGTAACAAAACACCGTCTACTTTGTCTGCTGGGTCTAATAACTGTACAACTCTACTCCTGCATTAAGCAGGCATGTGTTTTGATAGTAAATAAACTTTTGTTAAAATCAAGCAAAACTCTTCAGTGCCATAAAAAGAAAAAATACGCTCAGTTATAAAAAAAAGGACTAATAAATTAATACATTTTTGTAACGATACTAAGAGTTCCATGTCGTCGGATTCAGTTTTTCAATCCGAAACTGTAAGAAAGGTAAAATTTTTTTCATAAAATAATTTTCTTGATTAATCTCTGACATGTGTTGGCTTTTATGAGAGAATTAAATCATTAATACAAATGCATAATAGCATCATTTATTTGGCTGTGAAAATTCCATAAAATGTATTTCTTTGTATAGTGTGTTTTCTAGTTCACGTTAAGAGTTTTACTAACTATTCCAGATGTGCTTAACATCTTAAGCTTTATTATTATTATTACTTTGTCACATCTTTTCTTCTTCAAATAAAATGTATTTTTCAAATAACCTGCATTATATCGAAAGTTGTTCGAACTCTTGAACAGGTATTTTCGGAAGCACTTCCGCAGAGAACCCGGTAAATGTAAACATCGCCAACTTTGGCGATAGTAGTTCAAACCTGGTGACCCATCGGATTTATCCTATTCGCTTGTTCGAAGTTTGCAACATTCCTCTTGCGACCATTTTTTTGAATTATCACTGTCATTGTTCGCATTTGCAGATCTATATTATTCTTCTCTTATTTATTATTATTTTTTCTGAATTTTTTAGCAACGAATAGATAGAAATATTTTCGTAGATAGATGCCGGTTCTCGTGTTCGGGATGAAAGGAATGAAAATACGGGGGGTGGGGTGAATGCTAATTTGTAACACAGCTTGTTCACGTTGTGTTCTTAATTATTAACAGCTGTAAGCGATAAGAACCATGAGGTTTCCAACCCGTCTAAAATAATTTGTTTTCGTAGACCGCAAAAAATGTGCATGTGCATTTTAAATAATTAAGTAATGCTTTTATTTTTATTATTGGTTATTGTCATCTAAAAAATTATGAGAATAAATCAATTTTTATGGTGTAAAATTTTAACCAACATAATATATTGTTAATGCTTTTCTAACAAACAACCTTTCAGCAGGATCGCAGGTGTGACATAAATAGATGATTAAAATTGAAATAAAAAATATTATTGATTATCTAAGATGACAGAATAGTTTGATGCATCACCATGGTCATCAAATTCAGCAAACCACTGCTGGTGTAAGGAATATATTGTTTTCTGTGTTAACTGGAATTTAAGACAAATTTTTTTCGTATATCACGTTTAACCGGTTAATTTCAGTATATTAATACTAATTTATATTTTTTAAATGAATTTTTATTTCCGTTATAAATGCTTATATATTGTCTTATGCTTAATAAATATATTCTTTTCTGTGCTAACTTGAATATAATACAAATTTATTTTCGTATATCATGTTTAACCGGTTAGTTTTACATCTACATGCTTATTATCTGTGAATTTTTACTACCATATGCTTGTATATTGTTTTGTCTGCTAATTTGAATTTACATGCACTAAATATCACGTTTACGGCTCGGCTCATTGTCGATGAACCGCGAGCTTGGCGAGTAAAAATGCAACGGGTTCTCTGCGGATGAAAACCCGTATTTTCTTTATATGTGAAGGTCACTATAAGATATTCTTTTAAGGTATCTTGAAGTCTTTTATAAATTATTCGCTTTAATATAATTTTTTATTTAAGTGATACACAGTATTAAACAAAAGTGAAACAATTCAAAAAAATTATATAACCTGTAACTCCTTTACTGGCATTTTAAGAAAACACTTTTAAAATTTATTTTTAGTTTGTTATCACATATTTGCTATACATTTCAAGTACAATGTGATACATTCTTTCAACTTCTTATCAGCACTTGTAAGGGTTATTTCATTATTAATAACCTGAATAAAGTAAGTGGTTTTTAAAAATTTATGAAGACTGATTGCCCAATTTCTAGTTTGTATCGTATATCTCTGAATCGCAAATAAAATCTAATAGTTATGAAACTTTGGGCTAATCTTTGGAATATGGTAACAGGTAGTTTGGCGACATTTTGTAAGGCGATAAAAGTTACTAGCTAGGACTTTAGCAGTGTACATGTATAAAGTCAAGAGTGTGCACAGTGCCATTTTTGTGCAATTCTGGGATTTTTTTTAAGTGAAAATATGTCGACGTGTACATGGATGATACCGTGTATGTGCAATTCTTAAAAACATGGCAAGCAGTGGGTGATTCTGCACTTTCTCCCAATTTCGCACCTAATCTTCGTCATGATTAAGCACTTTTGTTCCATAAAAGTTCTAGCATAAGCGTAATTCGGCTAACAGATTGATGAAAAAAAAAAATGCCTTTACTTCGTGAAAACAAAATGCTGTCCAAAAAAAAGCAGGGTTGGTCGCCAAAAAATCGCCAAGTTACCATAATCCGAAGATTAACCAAACTAAACTTTGTAGCAACTTATAAGAGTGCAAGCTTCTATCACTCTCAATTGAAATTCTGGGTGAAGAGCAAAATCGCCCACTTATTTGGCCCGTTATGTTTGGCACTTTTTACAAGAGTAAGAGGAATTGGATTTTTGTCAATTTCCTTTGACTCTTTAATTGAAAACACATTTATGTGTACATAGACAAAGGGAGTGCGCAATGGCGAATTTGTGCAATTCTCTAATGTTTTTTCAAGTGAAAATAAGTCAATGTGTACATGGATGCCGAGTTTGTGCAGTTCTTTAAAACGCGGCAAGCAGTGGGTGATTCTGCACTTTCCCGAAAATTCCTTCTGAGTTAAACTTTAATTTGATTCAACAGAAACATGCATTTTTAATATTTTGGTTTCAAACACCAAATGCATGACAAATGGATACTATAGCTTTTAAAATTAAAATGCTTTCGAGATCAGTTTTATCTTTATTTAATAATAGAGATTTAATTTTATGAATCCACAGGAGCAGATATTACTAATTAAAATTTTTCAGATTGCAGATTTTTAAATGGTTATATTATATTAATTTATTTTTTAGATTGAATATCTTTGTGATTCTTCATGGTATATGAGCATAATACAGAGTACATAATTTTGGTTGATCTTTGGATTATGGTAACTTGGCGATTTTTTGGCGAAAATTTGGCGACCAACTCTGCTACAGCAACCCTCTATTTTTTTCGCCGTCTTTTTGTCTTCACGAAGTAAAGACATGTTTCTTTTCTTTTTATTTACTGAACACTTTTTCCAACAATCTACTAGCCGAATTACACTTATGCTAGAAATTTTATGTAACAAAAACTGCTTAATCATGACAAAATATTAACTGCAAAATTGGGAAAACTCCTTGCGCGTTTTTCAGAATAGCACATACACATAAACCATTTACACGTTGACTTATTTTTACTTAAAAAAACATCCCAGAATTTCACAAAAATGGCATTGCACACACTCTTAACTTTATCCATCTACACTGCTATTTTCTCATAAATTACAAAAATTTGCACGAAAATGCAAAAAAAAAAAAAAAAAAAAAAAAAAAAAACTGTGAATCTTTAAACTTGGTAAAAAGTACATATATGAAATTACCTGATCGTGAAAAAGTATATACCCTTTCCAAGGATGAACATTTCCACATATAAAATAAATAAAATATCCAAAAACATTTACCTCTAAATTATCTATTATATTATAAACGTCACCAACGAATTCATACCGCATACATTACAAATGGTTACAAATACTTAGTGTCTAATATTTAAATTATTTCCATACACATTTACTTCAACTGAAACGTATACCAAATTCCTACAAACATCAAATTCACAAAATAACTATCATTTAATTAAAATATCACTAAACCATGTACACGTCGACTTATTTTTACTTAAAAAAACATCCCAGAATTGCACAAAAATGGGATTGGCACACTCTTCACCAGTGGCGTAGCTAGGGTGGGGCAAAGGGGGACATCTGTCCCCAGGCGCAGCATCTAAGGGGCGCCAAATTGATGCTACGAAATAATGGAATGTTTTCCATTCTTGGCACACAGAAAGGGGCGCAAATTCTTCAGTTGATGATCCCAGGCGCTGGAAACTCTAGCTACGCCCCTGCTCTTCACTATATCCATGTACACTGCTTTTTTCTCATAAATTAGAAAAATTTCACGAAAATGCATGAAAATACTCAACGTATTCTACTCAAACGTATTCCAAAATACTACAAACATATAATTCACAAAATCACGATCATTAAATTAAAATATAATTAAATTAAAAAACACTACTTAGAATATAAATAAGCACATACATTAAATTAATAAAAATTAATTACAATCCTAATTACTTTAATCTAAATCATTGCTAATAACAATTTTCCAATAATATCATATTAATTTATTTACTCCTTACATTTAGAACAATGCATAAAAATAATATCCTCAAAAGATTAAAAATGCTAACTTACCTAATCTTCAGAATCTTCATTATGTGGCATGCACACTCCACTATTTCACACAACACACAATGAAGCTTAATACAAAATAATATAGTACTACAGCTTTCCAAATTCCCCCCCCCTTTTCCGATTAAAGAACTGTAATTCGTCCATTAATGTCACATGACATATCTCATGATCTCTCATTTCCCTCGCAGAAAATAATACATAATCGGAACTGGGTACTTCTCACATTATTACCGCAGTCCTAAATAGTAACCTTTATCGCCTCCAAAATGTCGCCAAACTACCAGTTACCTTATTCCAAAGATTAGACATAATTTTTTATATAAATTAAAACCAGAATTAGCTATTTTTTTTTTTTTTTTTTTTTGAAAGCATAAAATTTTAACATGATTCTGTATCCATCAATAAAATTTGTGCAATTCCTACTTTAGAAACCCTTAATGTAGAGGATGAGTGCATTTTTCACTGAACCTAAAATGGTACAAATAAAGGAATATTAAAAACACATGCTACTGTTTGAATAAAATTTAAAAAAATAGGGTATGTGTATGTGTGTAATGGGATGATTGGATAGGTCGCTGTTGAACCTGAGATATTTATCTGTGTCGTAATTATTTGGAGTGGCCTTAATGCGTAGATACAAGAATGACAGTTATAGACAGATGTGGCTGAGTCCAATATAATGTTATTGCAGGATAAAGCACTTTCAGAACCACAGTATTGATTCACATATTT